AGGAGTGATGCCCTAACAGCTGCTGTGGATGATGTTTGGAGCTGTTATAACAAATTATTATCAATGACACGATAGTAAAATAAAACACTATTTCTGATGGAGTAAATGTATAGCAATACAGGGCTACTATATCATTGGTATGTGTGTTACGATATAAAGTTAAAATATGTTTAATGATAAAAATGCAGTATGTTGTAAATGTATTGACATACAGGGTGACAACATGGTAAATAAGAACGACTAAGTTTTTAAAATATTACGATACCGTGTGACTATAATTTAGATGATACATGTAACAGTGGTGTTGTAAATGTATCGCGATGCAAGGTAACGATATTTAAGATGTTCACAGCCGTGTTGGAAAACTACGGCGATATAGGGTGACTATATTATATATGAGGACAGCGATGCTGTAATACATTGTAGTAGTAGAGTAATACGTTACATGATGTCTAATTGATAAATCGTGATGAACAAGTCGAAATGTACATCTACAAATCGATAGAGCTACCTACTTTTTAATGTTCGTCGTAAACAGTGTATATTAACCACTCCTTAACGGAAACAAAAACCTCCGGTAATATCATACGTTATTCACTCGTGGGAAATACGGGAATTAAATCATAATTCTTTCCAAAATAGTGTTGACAGGCTGACCATCCGAGCAGGATATGCGTCAGTCTAACCGATTATTGCTCAGTTTTTCATTAGTTTGTATCAATCCATCAATAAAACAGCAATAAACAGCGAGAGGGTTCGACAAATTAAATCCCACTTTTAGAATGTGTCACCACATTTTGTTATGTATTATTTACTAAAGTATTATTTGGTGTGTCGATATCAATCGGTATCATTACGGGGATATTTGAGGACGAGAGTGAAAATCCTATATAGTTATTATTTATCAATGTCACTTCCTAGTAACGGGAAACGGTTTACGCCATTAACACAGCTAGATCATTTACTGTTTGGTTATTAATTATTGCATCGAATTGTTTCCTCGATTGAGAAAATGCGGGAGTTTTTGTTGTTAACATTTAGTATGTCTGTTACATATGTACCTAGCGAACTTTCATTAAAAGATTATATATAACACGTATCATCGAGAGATATTCATTTTTCTAAAGGCCCATACAGAAAATGTGTTGTCTCCTCGTGTAGATGTTCAGTTTGAAGTATCTTCCTGATTGTAAATGCTATGGTGCATTATTTTATATTTTTATTTTACGTGATACCTGAATTAGGTAGTTTGTTGACATATGGAGATTGTGCCAGGCCAGCCGTAACACGTCATATTATTTAACTGTGTAGCATTATGTTTGTATTTTCAGACTACTTTTCAGATAATCACATTTGATATAGCATTGTGTATCTACTTTGGCAAGTTGCATCCTTAAAATGTATCTGCACTATCATCTTATATATCGCATGTTTAATACTCTATAAAACACATTTGAAACAGAAATCATTTCACCAGAAACGTTTATCACACTAGTTCTGAAAATTACTATTCTTTTTCATTTCCTTAAGCCAAAACCTATGTACAAGGGTGTATGTGAAGATTATGGAATACTTGTATATTTTTTATGTAAAATAGTCTTGTTAATAAAATGATTTTCCTTCCAAAGTAAAATACGATACACGATAATTAACATCTTAAGATAATGTAATTTAAATTACCAATCAAATAAAACTCTTCTGGTAAAAGCATATGATCCGCTAATCTGTGCTAAAATCGTTTGCAATTTACAATAACCCGAGGATGTAAGCGCTCGACAGAATGTCATTATTTAGATTTAAAAGAGAAAATGATATTTTGATATTCCCAATATTATCCGAATGTTAATTAATCATGAAGCAATCTGGTATTATAATGTCACTATAACCCATAATAAAACATAGATGAATATTTTAATATTTTAGAGGTATAAAAATGTTGTAAAAAAATATTTACACGTTTATTGTTTGTTTTTAAATGTGAGATTAGCTTACCTAAAAGGTAAACAAACACAAACACACACCAGGAGCAAAAAGCTTCTTTTGACATGTTCTTCAGGTAAAAACACACACAAGGGGCAAAACGCTTCTTTTAACAGGTTCTTGAGGTAAAAACACACACCAGGAGCAAAAAGTGTCTTTTAACATGTTCTTCAGGTAAAAACACACCAGGGGCAAAAAGCTTCTTTTAACATGTTCTTCAGGTAAAAACACACACCAGGAGCAAAAAGCTTCTTTTAACATGTTCTTCAGGTAAAAACACACCAGGAGCAAAAAACTTCTTTTAACATGTTCTTCAGGTAAAAACACACACCAGGAGCAAACAGCTTCTTTTAACATGTTCTTCAGGTAAAAACACACACCAGGAGCAAACAGCTTCTTTTAACATGTTCTTCAGGTAAAAACACGAAGCAGGAGCAAAAAGCTTCTTTTAACATGTTCTTCAGGTAAAAACACGAACCTGGAGCAAAAAGCTTTTTTTAACATGTTATTCAGGTAAAAACACACACCAGGAGCAAAAAGCTTCTTTTAACATGTTCTTCAGGTAAAAACAAACAAGGACTTTTCGGTTTGCTTTCAAGTTTCACCTGTATGTAGCTTGCTACATTTGTAAAAGGTGACGGAATGTGTTTATGAATCCGGGTTCATAATACTTAAATACATAAACAGTATATGAATAATAGAATATAAATAGGAGGTATAAGTATATAATAGTACAAACAGAGAAACGTAGGTATAGATGTACCATAGAGGGAATACTCCAGAAAAAAACCTGTTTTTGTGAAGTATAAAGTTAATATGACTAATATGAAGTTACTACGTATCGTAAGAGCCTTTTTTGTATTATCTCACAAAACCAGAACGATAACCTTATTACGACTTGAGTAAATATACGTTTTATACAAGTGTTAACTTCATTACCAGTACATAACGGTGCTATCGTTAGTTATCAAAATATACTCGGAATCCACAAAATTATGTCCGACCTTTATCGATTGTAGTAAGTGCTATATCTTGCTTTTTGTTGGATACACAGAGTAAAACAGTAAATTGTATCGTATCACAATCAAATAAATGACATTGAACTCTCCGTGTGTATCGGGTGATGAATGTTTATACATAAAACAAAGCAGGGCCCAGTTAATTGATGTAGAAGGTTTTACGTGATGCATTTAACCTATAAACGACAAAAGTAAATTCCAACATTAAGTCAAGTATATGCTAAACGTAAATTTAGACATTCACCAGTAATTATTAATTATGCAGTATTATTCATTTTGACTTACTGTGTTTATTATTAAATTATTCCTCTAGGTTAAAAAAAAAACAAAAAAACATTAAGGTTTTTCCACAACCCACTTCTGTTCAACAGTTGTTGAATTCGGGTGTTTATTTCCACCTCCTCTGTCGCTAGTAATGTGTCCTTGTGGACGGTTTCTGGAAATATTGAATATTACCTAGTATACCTATGTCAAAGCTTACAATAGAAAGTCACCAGATATTAACGATTAGTACGATATAGTCTCTTTGCAAAGCAGAGAACACCTTACACAAGTTGGCTTGTTTGTAACCGAATTCCTCCCCTTTCGTGATTGAGAATGGTGCCTGGTCGATAGGTCTAACGAACTCCGTCAGGTTCGTCAGATTTCAGCAACAGAGACTACTAATGGATTAACTATTAACTGATGTCTACAAGTTCATATTCATACAATGAATCTATTGTAGAATATTAAGAATAATGACTAATGTGAAATTGAAAAAGCTGTGTCATTCAAATAGATCATAAATACAATACAAAAACAGTTCAATACTTATATTTAAGTTTTCTCTGCCTCTTATGTTCTTTTTTAACTTATAATTTATATTTAAAATTAAAAATGCCCGCCTTATCGACAGTCCACACAATTTCGTTCAATAGTTTGAACAGCGTATTGTCGCATGCTGATTGGCGAACAAAGTAGTACTTTGAAATTTTAACAAACACTTCAATTTTATTCCACAATTCAGTATCAATACAATTGAGTATGATATGTCTATAGGGTGATTTAAGTTTATTAATAGAACTCTGAGCTGAAAGTTAGATTTGAAATTGTTTCGATTTTTCGCCGGAACAAGTTTCGCGCATGGGCAAATACAATGAACACCGTAAATCCGACCTTGACCTCCACGAGGGAGTTATTTTTGGAAGTTAATTCGAACTTTTCTCTTTGCTCATTTTGTGAAGAATACAGGCGTGAATGTATTTGTTGATTGTATGGGAACCCGACAACAGTCGGTAGATTCTTTAACAGACTCGTTATTTGACATGTCGTCAGAAATCAGCGTTTGAAGTGAGTGATCTTGCGACGGAGCACAGGTTCGTTACAAATGTCTGAAATGTGTATGTGTGCTGTGACTCATAACAGTAGATCTGTAACATATGTGTCAGTAGGTCTATAGAATATGTGTATTTCAGACATTTGTAACGAACCCCTGTTGATCAGTGCAGTGTAACAGACGATATTTCTAATAAATTGCATGAGCGTTAACATTGTTTCCATTGCCGTCATTGGTGATTTCAACCGATGTGCATTTTGTACGATATTGCAGACCTTGGTCTTGTTTTCGTTGTAATAAAAGTGTTTTTTTATTTTATTTTTTATTTTGCACATACATTTACAATGACATTGTCAAATCTCACAATGCCCAGCGATATTTCAGCAGCCGTCATGTTTATTTATATTTGATATTGTAGTTCCGGTCAGTGTTGTATTAATACGCTAAGAATTGTGTCTCGTGATGCATGGTAATTAAAGTCCCATCAACGACACAGCTTTCAAAGAGGCTATATAGTGACAATGCCATGCAAATGTAAATATTATATAATAAGTTCCCCGCTAGGTCAGTATCAGGTAAAACATATGACTGGTGCCCCTTCGTCTCCGTTCATGTTTTGAGTTTTCAATATCGCGAATGCTATATTTTAATAAAATCAATGTGTTATCTCTTCTTGTGTGTTGCAGGTGTTATACGATGACTCAATCCCCCTGCCTTCTATGTCAAGGAACACTCTACTAACACTACTGCTAAAGAGCTTGGCGCCACCTAGTGATGACGAGGTTCAAATGAGAGGGAAACGACAGCGACGTTGTTATTGGTCTGTTGTAACGTGCTTTGGGTAACACCACAAGTCATGTGATAACATCACGGAGGTGACGTCATAAACACAAGTGAAACCTGTAAATACAGAAGAAGTAAACTGCTGACGTTGGCTGTTTGACAGAAAATACAAAAACAAATATCACTGAAAAAATATTTCGCAGGTCGAATACGTGATTGCGTAAGATATTATATGAATCAGATGAAATAGCTTGTTAGAAATATCTATATTTATAAAAATGAAAAGAGCGTGTCGATAGTTCTGTATCTATGTGTCAATACTAACGACAGTAACATGCCAACTGATTCATATTCTGTTCATCCTTTTGATTTGTTCACTATATATAGATGTGTCAATAAAAAGAGCTAACGTCAAATGATTGATTGTGATTTTACCTTTGTTTAAAAGCAAAATCAGATGTGTATAGTAAACAAATTATCTTCATCAACTTCTGAGTAAATCTTAACGGCAACATATTTGTAACGATGTCATATTTTTCCATTGATAATTTAATATCAAAGGTTTAACTGACATAGGCGCGTGTCGGGGCTATCAGATATTCGTGCTGGGAAATGAAATATGATGAAATCAAGACATAGAAAACGTGGGGACTATCAGCTGAACATCGAGACACAGAAAACGTGAGGATTATCAGTTAAACATCGAGACACAGAATACGTGGGGACTATCAGTTAAACATCGAGACACAGAAAACGTGGGGACTATCAGTTAAATATCTAGACACAGACAACGTGGGGACTATCAGTTAAACATCTAGACACAGAAAACGTGGGGATTATCAATTAAACATCGACACACAGAAAACGTGGGGACTTTCAGTTAAATATCTAGACACAGACAACGTGGGGCCTATCAGTTAAACATCTAGACACAGAAAACGTGGGGACTTTCAGTTAAATATCTAGACACAGACAACGTGGGGACTATCAGTTAAACATCTAGACACAGAAAACGTGGGGACTATCCGTTAAACATCTAGATACAACACAGACAACGTGGGGACTAACAGTTAAACATCTAGACACAGAAAACGTGGGGACTATCAGTTAAACATCTAGACACAGAAAACATGGGGACTATCAGTTAAACATCTAGACACAGCTAATGTGGGGACTATAAGTAAAGCACACGTGGGAACTATTAGTTAAACATCTAGACACATTAAACGTTGGGAATATCAGATAAACATCTATACACAGACAACGTGGGGACTATAAGTCAAGCACACGTGGGAACTATTTGTTAAACATCTAGACACCGAAAATTTGGGGACGATGAGTTTAATATTAAAACACGGAACGCGTAGAGACTATCAGGTTAATATTAAAACACGGAACGCGTAGAGACTATCAGTTTTGTATTAAAACACGGAACTCGTAGATAATATCATATTAGTATTAAAACACGGAACGCGTAGAGACTATCAGTTTAGTATTAAAACACGGAACGCGTAGGGAATATCATGTTAGTATTAAAACACGGAAAGCTTAGAGACTATCAGTTTAATATTAAAACACGGAACGCGTAGAGACTATCGGTTTTGTATTAAAACACGGAACGCGAAGAGACTATCAGTTAAGTATTAAAACAAGGAACGCGTAGAGACTATCAGTTTTGTATAAAAACACGGAACGCGTAGAGAATATCAGTTTAATATTAAAACACGAAACGCGTAGAGACTATCAGTTTAATATTAAAACACGGAACGCGTAGAGACTATCTGTTTTGTATTAAAACACGGAACGCGTAGAGACTAGCAGTTTAGTATTAAAACACGGAACGCGTAGAGACTATCGGTTTTGTATTAAAACACGGAACGCGTAGAGACTATCAGTTAAGTATTAAAACAAGGAACGCGTAGACACTATCAGTTTTGTATTAAAACACGGAACGCGTAGAGACTATCAGTTTAGTATTAAAACACGGAACGCGTAGGGAATATCATGTTAATATTAAAACACGGAAAGCGTAGAGACTATCAGTTTAATATTAAAACACGGAACGCGTAGAGACTATCGGCTTTGTATTAAAACACGGAACGCGTAGAGACTATCGGCTTTGTATTAAAACACGGAACGCGTAGAGACTATCAGTATTGTATTAAAACACGGAACGCGTAGAGACTATCAGTATTGTATTAAAACACGGAACGCGTAGAGACTATCAGTTAAGTATTAAAACAAGGAACGCGTAGACACTATCAGTTTTGTATTAAAACACGGAACGCGTAGATACTATCGGTTTTGTATTAAAACACGGAACGCGTAGAGACTATCGGTTTATCAATGATGCACAGAACATAAAAGGACTTTTATTAAAATACTGAGAGCATGTATATTTACAAACGTTTGGTGAGACACAGGAATTATAGTATAACCGAGTGAACGAAGGGTTTTGGGTTGGAGTCGCATCACAGCACTGTGTTGTATCATTGAATAAGATACGTCACTCCGCTTGCTCCAGTCTACTCAGCTGTAAATGAGTACGTGGTTGGGCAGTGCTAGAATTGTTAAAATGCTAGCTGTGAGTGCCAAAATTGCTCCCCAGGGGTTGAGAAAAATATTGGCTGGTTGCAAAGGCCCTATAACCATGGATAATAGTTTGTGAACCGCTTTGAGACGACCTACGAACAAGGTTCTGATAAAGCGGTATATAAAAACCTCGAAGTATTATTATTATAACATCGAGTCAATTGCTAGCTATTGACAGTCATGTCAATGAGATATGCAAACGTCGTTGATGAGAAGGAGTTAATGACAGCCATGGAAATCAACTGTTATGGGAAAGTGAAGTGTGAGGAAGGTCAATGACCTTGACCGACACAACCTGCATGTGAGGAAGGTCAGTGACCTTGACCGACACAACCTGCCTGTGAGGAAGGCCAATGACCTTGACAGAAACAACCTGTCTATGAGGAAGGTCAGTGACCTTGACGGACACAACCTGCTTGCGACATCCAAGCTTACCTTACATTGCGTTCTATACAATTATGATAAATGTACCATTTACCGATGCAATCTTTCCTTACGACACACAGACAACACTTTGAATTCATAACATCACAATACTACAGAAATTCATGAATAAAACAGCTCGCATACAACTTACGCCCAAATATTCAGATGATGATTCATTTGGAAGAAATATTGCCTCTCTGACTTTGAGGCATACAGTCCATGGCAAAATGGATTACATTTATGATGTACAAAACCCGATTAAGTATCTGAATGGACAACCAGATTTTTCTTACGAACATAATTTCATGTATCTCCTCTATACAGAGCTAACAATGATCTAGTACCTCTCCCACGTAGTGAGGGTATATTGTATTACACCATGAAATATTAACCGATCTGGAGCTAATAAATCTGTTAATCCTTTAGATCATTTTGATCTCTTATAATGTTATTTTTCCATTTGTTTCGTATCAACTGTTCCTGTTCTTGACATTTGAAATCATTACCATTGATTTTTTTGAATGAACACACAAGATGGTTCGAAAATTTCCGATGACAAAATTGTTTCTAAAAACTTTGAACAGTTTAACAAAGCCTTTTATAGAACATTAATCTTAATATTTTAAAAGCCCTTGACGAATGAGTTGCGATATTTAACTGAATTCGTTTAAACCATGAGTTATTCACCATACTTGAAGCTTCAATGGCCAAACATGTCCCAGTACATAAATACTGTTTTGTAAAACTAATATCTTCTCAATGATTTTGAAAGAACAATTGACTGCAATTTACAAATCCCACGATATTTCTATGCAATTCTTGTAATTATTCAGACATTTTACACCATCACATCAATTGGTCAGTGTTTGCATTCTTAAGAAGCTTTTTTGAAAAGTAAAGTCCATAAGTACACAAAAACCAACATCACATTAGTTGACTTATTTTTGCATTTCTAAGAAGCTGATTTGAAAATAAGAAGCTAGAAAATGGGATTTTACATACATATGCAATCTTATATTTTCACATTCATATCAATTGAATCACAAAAAGTTTCGAATCACATTTTTGTTCTTTAACCTTGAAATTGAATAAAGAACGAATAACAGTTCCTCAATTACAGTCACGATTATTGTAATATTTCCCTATCCTCAGTAGTAACATACCAGTCTTCAACTAGTATCCGCGTCACCGTTTGTTTACTACTACAGAGCCTGTTCTAGGCATCAGTTTTTTTTTATTGTTTTCATTTATCAATTAAGGTTTGGTTCTTTCTTTAATCTACGATTAAACATTTCACGGTTCCTATCGTGATGTGTTTTCTAGTGAGAGTTGTAATAATTATTTAAAATTATTTAAAACATTATCACTTAATACATTGTACGATCAAAATCGGTTATTGTATTTGCTATATAGGGGGAAGATCTGTTGCTATATAGGGGGAAGATCTGTTTCTAATTAATAGATATCTCCATCTACATGTATATTTGAAATTTTGGTGTACTATATATATTTCAAATATATACTATTAAAAAATAAATGTTTAAGATGTTTATATATAGATATACATTACATTCCAGTTAAAAGCGGGGTTGATTTGCTTATCGGATTTTTTAGTTTTATATTGATATTATTTATTTGTCCTCGAATCTGAAAGTCCATGCGTTATCCAAACAAAAATTCAAAGAGGGTGCTAATTAACGGCACTTAAAGCCAGGTATTTCAGACGCTGATTTTTTTTATGTTTTCTATCTCAAATACCACTAATGAACAATAAATGCACGAAATGGTGCAGTATACATATTTACATCATATGACTTTCCGCATGACTGTTCTTCTTCTTTCGATTAGGTGTTCTTTAATTCGTATTACTTGTGACTATTTGTTAACGCGGGAAGCCAAACCGTATATCAAAGTTCAGCTAAAACAGGCAGCAACACAACTAAAACAAGGAAACATTCTGGTTTGTTTTGCAACTCAAGTTGCTAAGGATACGTCGTAGCTTTATTTCGCAATAAAGAATAACATCCAGCACGCCTGATTCGCACTACATCATAGCTCCTGAAGGGTGGACAATTGTATCTGTAGAGGAGGAAATGTCGATCCGTGCTGAAAGACACCAATTGCGTGTGTTGTACAGAAACACAGTGTCGACTTCGAACAGACAGGAACCACGACAAGGGGGGTTGGACAGAGATACAAAACATTCAACTTTCTTTAATAAACCTTTTGATTTCTTACAAACTAAGGACGATGAACAGTTTCTCTGTTGATTGATTAGACTTTTACATACCTCCACCGTGATTTTCGAAAACTGATTTAATATAAAGAATATGTTGAAATTGATACTGAAAATGCTTTAGAAATACACCCATGGATGTCGATCATTTACAACACTGTT